CCCCCCTCTCTCTCTCTCCTCCCCCCTCTCTCTCCTCCCCCCTCTCTCCTCGCTGTCTCTCCTCAATTGCTCCTTTCTCTCTTCAACCAGAAATGGCTGGAGCTTTTGTGGCAGTATATCTGATGGCCATATTGTACGAGGGGCTTAAGATTGCTCGGGAAGCCTTGCTCAGGAAGTCACAAGTCAGCATCCGTTATAACTCCATGCCAGTGCCAGGACCCAATGGGACCACCCTGATGGAAACTCACAAAACTGTTGGGTAAGGACTGCATCACGAATGACAAGATTTGGCTTTACCTCTCCTGAAAGACTGGACGGTGTTATGAGGAAATATGGGGTTTTCTGGTTAGCTCTGACAGTAGACTGACAAGGGCGGTCATAAATGCTTAGAGCAAGCTAACTGCAAAGTGCACAAGAGTCTTCTAGGCTTGGCTCTGCCAATGTTTTAAGATCTCAACAGCAGAAAAGTATTTTGTATAAGTTACAGTTCTTTATACCTTATCTCCAGGCACAGGCAAATAGATACTACAACGCAGCAAGGATGGTACCTTATAAAAATAAACCTCCAAGTTTTCCTTTCTAGTTTGTCCCAGTGTCCTACAATCATGCTTAAAATCCAACCTTAACATTGTGCCATACATTGTATGTCCTAAGGAGGAGACTGGTCACCCCAGGTGATTCTCTATGCGCTTGGTGACCAGTCACCTGAATGCCCCCTTGTATTTGTAAAGTAGGGGAGCAGTGCAATCAAAGAGGCAATGTTCTCAGTACTTCGCCCCACCCAGCATCACCTGGACTTTTCCACCACACTGTCTGTAAGCAGAGTGCTCTTGATATGTGTAGTTATGTGGGGAGCACATACATCAGTAGGAAATGGCATAGGGAACCCTTTAAAATTCCTCCATCTGGTACCAAAGGCAAAACGTTTGGAGTCCTTCTGATGACTTCACAGAGAACTCTCTATTTAAAAATAAATAAATTTGAAGTACGTTGGATAGGAAGATTAGTTTCAACCAAAAACTAGGAAACGCAACTAAATAAGCAAACTTAGGTGCTGGTTGTAAGATGGATAGTGCCGCTGCTCTTGGTTCAGCTCAACGCATAGCATGGCAAGCTTCCACTTCTTCAGGAGTAGCAGTAGCATGGCTGCTTGCGGCATTATATGTTCAGTAGAATCCAGAACAGCAACATTCCTAATGCTATTAGTGACAGACATCAATAAGGAATTGTCTTTGGTTTTAGTGCCATTGTCATATTTGGGGCCTGTGGTGATTCAGAATTCACTGACGGGTGCATTTGACCTGCTATAAGTGGGTTTTGCAATCCCATAGACTTGTATGGGAATGCAAAACGCCTTTGGCGCAAACAAAAACTCTTCGACACACGCCCTTGCACTCATCAATATTTTTTTTTGGTTGTAAATCATTTCATCCTTTGTCCACGTGTTGCACAAAAATAAACTAGTTTTAGTTTCTATAAGCTGTTCCCAGAATAATCATTTTATGGCTTTTCAAGAAATAGGTACTTGAAGTAAAGGTTTTCTTTGAATATAATTCCTTTTCCTTTTTCCTGTTCTTCACAGACAACAGATGGTAAGCCTGCCTCACGTCTTCCAGACTGCCCTGCACATCATCCAAGTGGTGGTCAGCTACTTCCTCATGTTAATATTCATGACTTACAATGCCTACCTGTGCATCGCGGTGGCGGCCGGAGCTGGAACTGGCTACTTCCTCTTCAGCTGGAAGAAGGCTGTGGTGGTGGATATAACCGAGCACTGCCATTAACAAGTCTCCGCGGTTTAGGCAATGGGACATCTAGTGGCGCTGATTAATCTCTCATCACTCCTCTTTCTAAGAGGATAAATATTTTTGTAATAAACTCCCGTATTGCCTTTTTTTTTATTATTTCTGCCTCTTTACGTGATGTAGTTTGATGTCTGCAAAACGGCAGGCGTTGTCTTTCCATGGGTTCATTCCTAATCTGGTGACCCAACTCTTGATTACTTATAGGACTTTTTACAGGGGACCTTTGACATTTCTCCTAGAACACCAGCTGCCAGACCAGAGCTGCATCCAGTTTACATTCCCTACTTTTTGGGGTCTGTTTGCTAGACGATATTCGTAATCAAATACTCTTAAAACATATGACATCAGAATTGGTAGCGTCAATATTCATCATGGAAATTGTCACTTCAAGGATCAGACCACCCAAAGTTATTGTTTATGTTTTAGATAGATGCTGACAACTGGTTGTTGACTGGTTTCTTATATCACGAACAAGCTCCATCACAAAGATCTACATTGTGATTTTCAGGTTGGGCTCCTTATATCTCAGGAACTCTTCTGTGTTCCCAGGACCACCCACCTAATATAGAGGGCAGGGGGATTCCAGGAGAGATATCTAACTTCTGGTACAACTGACAAATATTTTATAAGCCAGCAATCACCAGTAACCAAAATATTAGCTTTGGTTGGAGCTATCCTTTAAAAGATCCATGCTGCCTTGTAACCTGTGTAATCATAACCTGTACAATCAATGCATTCTCTTTTCCAGCTACATAACTTGTACGTGCACTTTTACACATATATTGCAGCTTCCTCTGCCCCCCCCCCCCCAGCCCCTTCCTTGAGGGGAAAAAAAGAACATAAAAATGGAATTCTGAGTGTTGCAAATCTGTCACCCAATTTACTAACTTGAAGCCACACACTTAGCAGTTGATTCAATCATAATTAGATGTAATTGCAAAAAAAAAAAAGATCATGATTGTAGAGTTTAGGGTATAATAAGAAAAGTAAACTTGTTCAGGGCTTTCTTTACCCAGCTGCAGACATGTATTTGGAAGCCGATGGAGGTGGGTTCTGGAGAGCAGTGCACACGGTGAGAACTCTCTTCAGTGCTGCGATTGGCCAGGTAGCGAAGAATTTACAGAAGAGGGGTTCTGGCAACCCTTAAAGAGATAACTTGCACTTGTTTCCATAAACTGGTTAGCTGAAACAGAAGGAATATGCAACTGCGGAGACAGTCTGTGTATGTTAATTGTTTAACAATTCAAGTAAACAACTTTCAACTGAAATCTAGTCATGGGCCGCTGTAGGATCCCAGGTATCCTGACCCAAAGAGTGCTTCTGTGCCTCAGAGTCTCGGTCAAGGTGTCTTTGTTACAGACCGGAGAACTAGATGCAGTATTCCAATAAACAAAACTAATTCATAAAGATTTCATACATCTCCATTTTTTTTTTATTTAAAATTTGTATTATGTTTTTGTGTTTTTAGTGAAATAATGTGAAGCTTTTATGAATTGTATGATTTCTTTTCCAATAGTTAAAAAATATGAAGCAACAAAAGTCAATCCTTTTAATAAAATATTGACTAGGAACTGTCTTCTCCGTTTCTTACTGGCTAGGCTTGTGGGGACATCTTGTGGTAGGTGCTGGTATAGCATTTATACAGTCGGTGAAGCAGTCCAAAGTGCACTGATTGTATCTTTCATGACATTCAGATGCCCAGACCATGTTTAGCAGCGTTGGTATGGCATCGGTTAACTCTCATTTTTACTGGGCTTTTCACAGAAGGGTTTGGAGGAGGCTGGAGACGTGAACAATCTAGGACAACATAGCTGAACTGGAAAGTGAGCTGAATTGGAGAATGTTGTCCTTGAATTTTCACCTTTCCTGCCTCCTCCAAACTTTAGAGAATAGACCTGTTAGATTGACAATGGGTCTGAAAACTAGGCACGCACGCAGTTGTTCATTCCTAGATTGTCTGCAAGCTAAATGTTCTCACAGCAAGAGTAGTCCTAGGTGTATAATGGTCATGAAGGAGTCAAGCAAACTGTATAGCCACTGGCCAGATTTAAGGGTACGCTTGCAAAGCTTTATACTCTTTATTGGTTTTCTACCAAAAACACGTGAACTAAAGACACACTATAGGTTGGGATTAAAGTATTTTTAGAGCCAGAACTTTTTGTTGTTGTGGAAATACATCTAGACAATTAAGAGATGCACTGGAGCTGGACAGAGGAACAATGTTCTGGTTGAGGTGAAAGGCCAAAACTACCTTTAGAAAGGAAGGTGGTTCTAGGCCACATCTTGTCCTAATATATAAGATCAAGAATGTCTCTTTACAGTGTAAAGCTTCCAGCTCATTCATACACACATTGCAGAGGGGATGGCGACAAACAAAGCAACCTTGTGAGCAAAAGTGGAAAGGGGAATATCCCTCATATTTAAAAAAGTCAGTCTTTGAAATGCTGAGAGAACCAATTCAGATCCCTTGGTGTCACAGGGGGGACTACATGACAGACGCGTTGGACAAAGGTCTTAAAGAATGGTAGGCTAATGGTCTCTGGAACAAGATTACAAGTGCTAAGATCTGGCCCTTGATGATGCTCAGGGCCAAATGTTCATCCAGAGCTGCTAAAAGGTGAGGATTTGTCTCCGAGTACTTCCTGGGATGAAAGCTTCTTTCCTTGCAGCAAAGTATACCTTCCATGTGGTGATAGACCTTGTGTGAAGTAGACTTCCCGGCTTTTATCATTGTGAGAATCGCCACTCTGAAGATACCCCCGTCCCTCAAGACTTGGGCTTCTACAGCCTTGTCATTAAACCAGTGCCAGTGAAACAGGATGATAAACAGAGCATCTGCCAGAAAAATATCAGGTCAGAGTACCACATCCACCTAGGCCAATCTGGAGCTGTGAGCATCACCGGAATACAATATTCCCAATCCTATTGATAAGATGACCCTTTATGAAAGCACCTTATTCTGGGGTGTGACTGACTTTCATATACATAGATGCAGTTTATTCTGGGGTGATACTTTCATATACATAGATGCAGTTTATTCTGGGGTGTGACTGACTTTCATATACATAGATGCAGTTTATTCCGGGGTGTGACTTTCATATACATAGATGTCCCAGTACTGCTACTTCCACTGACAAGAGAAAGATAACAATTTTCAGAGGAGCCCGATGCTGGACTTTCATATACATACACGTCCAATGGATGTATGCAATGGAGCACTCTGCCTTTATGAAGGTGTTGGACACCAGTGTAGTTGGGGATCTGCATTGGGAAACTTTTGTAGATGCTTTTGCTGGCTATAAACTAAATGAGGGTCTGCCATGGTCTCTTTTTAGAAGACCTGCATGTGATGGGGGGTAGTATTGCTGGTCATGCAGAAGAAAACTTAAATGACTCCTGGGTTTTCATTACATCAGCTGGCAGTTGGTTTCATGTCTGTTACAATTAAAGTGGAATGCCACCCATAATGTATTTTCTCTTGTCCTGGGAAGCTCCAAATGTCTGTCAGGTTTTTATTGCCAACAGGGTACCAATTAAAGTGACATTAAAGGCAAAAACATCTTTCCCTCCCCCCAATGTTAGCACTTACCTTAAAATATGTCTCTTTTTCCGATCTTCCTCTCCTTTCCTGATGTTTTCAGCCTTCTCTCCAGCTGTGCGGCGGCTCTCCGATCCAGCGCTGACTGCTCTGTCCCTCCGATCCAGCGGTATCTGCATGCGGGTGCACGCGTCCATAGACTTACCTTGCGTCCCTGCCGAAAATGAGAACTGCGCATGCGCGCGCCCCAAGATCTTTTGCGGCCGCACGAGAAATTTCTCATTTTCGCACGGAACACAGGGTAAGTCTAAACTGCTGTTTGAGCCTTTTTTAAAAACTGTTTGCATATATCTACTGCTTACTAGCAGTAGATATATGCAAAAAAAACGGGAGGGTTATTTTGCTTAGTTTCCTCTAAAATAAATACCTATTTTCTATGCGCCTCAGCTCCATCTAGTGGCCAAAATGCAGTATTACATCGCATACATTTGACTTGGCAAAATAAATCGGTTTGTTTTTTGCATCCATTCCCACAGAACAAGCATTTAAAAAGATTTGTACATTTTTTATAAATAGACCCTCTAAGTGTCCTATCCCACTGCATAAAAAAAGTACTGCTACAACTGCCATTTTACATCAACATAACCTATTTCAATCTGTGGACAATATGATTTTCTAAAGCTGCCGAAATAAAGTATTTCATTCTATTTTCCAACCATTAGAGCACTAAGGGGTCTATTTATAAAAGTTTTCATACAAGATTCAAACAACTTTCTTTCACAAAAGGTTAAGATTCAAACAACTTACTTTTACCCAGTATTCACAAATGTATCCAACTAAATCAAATTAGAAAAGTGTGTAAACCTTGGGTGAAAGTTGTATGAATCTTGTGTGAAAGCATTTCTAAACGGACCCTTAAGTGTGCAGAACACCCAAGTGAGCGGCTTATTGCTTTCTCTTATACCAACACTGGGATTGATCATGTGATTTTCCCATGTGCACCCCCCCTTCCTTTGGCTGAGCATGTGAGTGGAATGGCTGCCTGAGTATCTGCAGAGCAGAATTGGCCAACATTTACAAGGAGTCTTACAATGTACATAACTGACCTAGAAGAGTCCATTTTCTTTTTCCGCATGTTTGGGCTTCATGCCCCATTGTATCCAGCTTTGTTAAGCTAATCCTATTTTGTGAATCTGATGTAAACTGTCTGACCTGAATATTCTGCCAGCAGAAGCGCTTCCTGTTAAAGGCTGACAACGCTAAGGCACTACCTCACAATTAGCAGCAGCGTTGTCAGCCTTGTTCAGTTGGCCTTTGGGCTACCGATCCCACAGAACTGACATGCAGTCCAATAGCCAAAGGAAGGCGCATACAAGGCAGGCAGACAACGCTGCTGATAATGGAAAGGCAGTGGCTGAGGTAGTCAGCCTTCAACAGGAAGTAAGAAATGTTGTAACATAAATGATATTCTTAAAAACTGTCTACAGTGGGTAGGATGCCAAACATACTGGAAAAAAAAGATTTGGGTTTATGTACACTTTAAAGGAAGAGAAATATGGAGGTTACTATGGCTGACCTTCTGCCTAATCATCTCTGGAATGTACCAGTTGCTGTAATAACCTAAATTAGGGTTCTGTCCCGTGACCACCGCCTGTGCTTTCTGCCAATGAGGAGGGACATTGTTCCCACAGAGATGCTGAATCTGCTGGCTCTGGCTAAAGCTAGTCACCCGAGCTCCAGTGAT